AGTGTTTTTAAAAAGCTTCACCAGTGCTTCTGATGGGTAATCAGGGTTTAGGAAACCCCTTAATTAAGGGAACTGGAGTGTTTAGCTAGAAGACTCAGGTTAGCTCTTCAAGAATCATATGAGGGAACTTGGGAAAAATAAAGCTAAATTATACCCCCTGGAGAGAATTCAATGGGGTAATGTCTACATGTCTGTGTTTTTTAAAAGCTTCCCTTGTGATCTTGATGCACAACCAGGGATGGGAACAGTGCTTCTCAAACTTTAATGTGCGTATGAATCACTAGGAGATCTGTTTAAAGTATGGGTCCTGATTGAGTAGGACTGGATTGGAGCCTGAGAGTCTGCATTTCTGATGGGCTCCAAGGTGAGGCTGACGCTGCTGGCCTGTGGACCATACTTGGCGTAGTAGACAGCTACTTAGTGTAGATTATTACTCAAGAGACCCAAGCACTGGATGTGGGGGAGAAACTGGTTGAGACTAAGGTGTCTTCTGAGAGTTTGAGGGAGATTCACTGAAACCTCAGGGATACATTTATTTAGGTGATAGTGTGGTCCAGTGAAAAGAACATTGGCTTGGGAGTTAGAATTTCATAGTCATGGTTTACTGTTTGGGTGACCTGGAACAAGTTATTTCGCCTTTTTTGAGTCTCAGTTTCCAATTTACAATAGAGATACACGTAAAATCTCCCTGGCCGATTAGCATTAGGGAAAATGTGTTCGTGGGGGACCTAGCAGAGGGGCGCCTGGCTGGACCAGTAGGTAGAGCATGTGACTCTTGATCTTGGGGTTGTGGGTTCTAGCCCAAATTGGGCATAGAGTTTATAAATGAATGAATGAATGAATGAATGAGGGACCTCGTATAACTTTTGACACAGAGTAGGTGTTCAGAACAGTGGTGACTGTTATTATCATTCATGCTGTAGAATCCTCTTTTGTTGAAGACCAGAGCTGAGATTAATGTGCATGAAAAGTACTGTTAGAACCTCTGATCAGTTTTGTATCAGACAGGACTTCTATTCAATAGCCAACAGAAGGCTGTGGTTATTCAAGTAGAAATGATCTTGGCCTAACGTAAACCATTTGTTCTCGTCTGTCCCTGCATTATTAACTTTTGCAGTCACTTTAAGTCTCAGCCTGATGAAATGTGACAAATGATTCACCGACTCAAATATTTGTCATGCACCTGTTACTCTAAAGTCCAATAATTCTGAACTGTTGTCACTCTCTGCATAGAGCATAGTTCAGAGCTGAGCTCCTTTGAGCTCACTGTCCCCTTTGCCACCCCTCCCCACCCCCAAAGTGTGGACTCAGGTTGGGCTGGTGCTCTGAGAGCCCTGTGTGACACAGGACATCCTCAAGATCAGAGCTGAAGTGTGTGGGAGGGTCAGGGAAGGCTTCCTGGAAAAGGTGATGCTTGAGCTGAGCCTCAAGAGGAGGGTACCAGGCTCAGGGAGGAAGAGTGGCTGGATGGCTCACTGCGTTTGGGGCACTGCACATGGTTTGGACAAACCGAAATGTGGCAGGCAAACGGGAGGGTAGTGAGTAAAGCTGGAGAAGAGGTAGCGGCCAGCACATGAGACTAAATGCAGCTAAGAAGGTTGGATTTTATCTTGAGGATCAGAGAGGCCAGTGAGGGATTTGAAGCAGGAATGTGTGGAGGGTGGGTTGAAGATGGTATTAGGTACAGGGAGATTGGTTAGGAGGGGTTTTTTTTTATTATTATTTAAATTCAGTTAGCCAACATATAGTATATTAGTTTCAGATGTAGAGTTCAGTAAGTCATCAGTGGCGTGTAACACCCGGTGCTCATCACATCACGGGCCCTCCTTCATGCCCATTCCCCAGTTATCCCACCCCCCCACCCACCTCCCCTCCAGCAACCCTCAGTTTGTTCCCTAGAGTTAAGAGTCTCTTACGGTTTGTCTCCCTCTCTGATTTTGTCTTATTTTATTTTTCCCTCCATTCCCCTATGATCCTCTGTTTTGTTCTTAAATTCCACATGAGTGAAACCGTATGATAATTTTTTTCTCTGATTGGCTTATTTCGCCTAGCATAATACCCTCCAGGTCCATTCATGTCAATGTAAATAGTAAGTATTCATTCTTTCTGATGGCAGAGTAATATTCCATTGTATATATGAACCACGTCTTCTTTATCCATTCATCTGTCCATGGCCATCTCAGCCCCCTCCACAGTTTGGCTACTGTGGACATTGCTGCTATAAACATCGGGGTTCAGGTGCCCCTTCGGATCCCTACATTTGTATCTCTGGGGTAAGTCCCTAGTAGTGCAATTGCTGGTTCGTAGGGTAACTCTATTTTTAACTTTTTGAGGAACCTCCGTACTGTTTTCCAGAGTGGCTGCACCAGCTTGCATTCCCACCAACTGTGTAGGAGGGTTCCCCTTTCTCCGCATCCTCGCCAACATCTGTTGTTTCCTGACTTGTTAGTTTTAACCGTTCTGACTGGTGTGAGGTGGTATCTCATTGTGGTTTTGATTTGTATTTCCCTGATGCAAAGTGATGTTTAGCATTTTTTCATGTGTCTGTTGGCCATTTGTATGTCTTCTTTGGAGAAATGTCTGTTCATGTCTTCTGCCCATTTCTTGACTGGATTATTTGTTTTTTGGGTGCTGAGTTTGATAAGTTCTTTTTTTTTTTTTTAAGATTTTATTTATTTATTTGAGAGAGAGAGAATGAGAGATAGAGAGCAGGAGAGGGAAGAGGGTCAGAGGGAGAAGCAGACTCACTGCTGAGCAGGGAGCCCGATGTCGGAGTTGATCCCGGGACTCCAGGATCATGACCTGAGCCGAAGGCAGTCGCTTAACCAACTGAGCCACCCAGGCGCCCTGATAAGTTCTTTATAGATCTTGGATACTAGCCCTTATCTGATATGTCATTTGCAAATATCTTCTCCCATTCTGTAGGTTGCCTTTTAGTTTTGTTGAGTGTTTCCTTTGCTGTGCAGAAGCTTTTTATCTTGATGAAGTCCCAAAAGCTTGTTTTTGCTTTTGTTTCCCTTGCCTTTGGAGACGTATCCAGCAAGAAGTTGCTGTGGCCAAGGTTGAAGAGGTTGCTGCCTGTGTTCTCCTCTAGGATTTTGATGGATTCCTGTCTCACATTTAGGTCTTTCATCCATTTTGAATTTATCTTTGTGTATGGTATAAGAGAATGGTCCAGTTTCATTCTTCTACATGTGACTGTCCAGTTTTCCCAATACCATTTGTTGAAGAGACTGTCCTTTTTCCATTGGATATTCTTTTGATTAGGAGTTTTATATGTAAACTAGGTCAGATCCCAGCTGTTACCCTTAATGCCTTTTCCCCAGAGCAGAGGGGTTTACTACAGAGGTACCCTTTTGCCTGCCTGGTCTGCCTCCCACCGTGCTGTGGCTGTGGAGTAGGAGGGAAGGAGCAGAGCTTGGGTGGGAGTCTGGCCCATATCAAGCAGAAGGTGCAGCCACCCCTATTCTGCGGAGTAAGCTGGGTAGCACGAAGCCCTTGGTCAATGCTTGGACCACATTTCCTGTGTTTCAGTACCACGTCTGCTCTGTCCTAGCTGGGGACATTGGGGAAGTTACATAACTTCTCTGAACTTCATCCAGAGAATGGAGAGGATACTGACCCTTCAATGCTTTTGTGAGAATGAATTAGATAGTGATAATGATGAAAATAATAATGACATCAACTGTGTGGCAGGTCTTATTTCAGGTACATTCATTAATACAATAAAACACACATCAAACACCAAAACTAGTGTGCAGTTTATGTAGGTATTGGATTCCTACCCCCACCACCTGCTGATACACACTTCCTACAGTTTGTCAGCAGCTGATAGACTATTGCCTTAGTACTGTCTTACAAAGACTTCATTTATTCCCACATATTGACACAGAGAAAATAATGAAGATTTAATTTAAGCTCAGGAAGCAGTCAGGGAGTAATTGCCAACATCATTTCATTGACGAAGTACTTGCGGCTTAGAAATCAAGTGTTCTTTAACCAGATTGTAACTTAATACCCGTTAGCCCTTGAACCTGATTTTTACGTTCAGGGTCTTGGGCTTCTACAGAAACCAGACAGAGCTGATGTTGCTTCTGGGACATTGTTCACATGTTATTTTGATATTTAGTGCCCATCTTCAGAAAAAAATGCATAATCAGAATAAACACCTGACTGCAAGCTTTGTATAAGGGAGAAAATGGAATATGTAAGGTTATCCAAGGACTGGGATGAGTTATACGTCCCTATCTGGGCCCATCAGGCTTCTGATGATACTGGCTGGCTTAGTCTCACAATAAATGAAAGTTCTCCCTCCCCCCTGCCCAAGTCTTCAGGGCACTGCTCACCAAAGCCTTTCTTTTCCTTCTTTGTGCAGGTTTTAGGCAACTAGATCCTCTTTGGCAGTATAAAGCAAGGATTAACACTAACTGTGTAGCAATCCCAGGATTATGGGCTCAGGAGAATAAATCTTGCGTTGACCCTGAGATGATTTCAGTTAAGTCTCATTGTGAAGAGCGATGGGAGAGGCAGTTCTGAGCAGGTTTGCTGTTTATTCCTAGTTCCCCAAGACCAGCCTTGTGAGTATCACTGTCCATTGTGCATTCGAGACACGGGTGATTATTCCTGGGAAGCACAGTGGGTTGCTGGCAGCAGTGATTACACCCGAAAACTGGCTGTGCTTCTTGCTGGGCCTCATCCCTGGTCAACAGAGAAAACACAAGGAAAGCAGGAGTCATTGTCATTGAAACACTCATCTGCTTATCTGTATCTACACTGCCACCAAGTCAGCGGTTAGCTTTCCCTAAAGATTAGCATTAAACTAGAAATTCTAGCACATGCTCCATGTCTGACCATCTTTCTTCTTTATTTCCTTGAAACCTCCTCCCTCTGGATTTGGATTTCCCGCCACAGCCCATTCTCAAATGCTGCCTTAGAAGGTGCGAGGCAAAGGAGAAGAATAATATGCAACCTTTCTCTTATTTCCACCATTGATTTTCCAGCAGCAGCTTCAGGCGTATGTGGCCTGGGTGAATGCACAGCTCAAGAAGAGACCAGCAGTGAAGCCGGTGCAGGACCTGCGACAAGATCTTCGGGATGGGGTGATCCTGGCGTATCTCATCGAGATTGTTGGTCAGTTGGCCCTGGACTCTGATGCCAGAACATGCCTTCTTTGTCCTCCACATGCCCTTCAGAGCTGTTTGCGGCTGCTTTGTAATATATGGAAATGGAAGTATCGAAGGTTTAACATACTTGCCCAATGTTAATTCATTTATTTATGAGTCAGCAAATTCTGTGTGCCAGGTGCTGATTTATGCTTTGGCAGTGTGATTGTGAGCACGGTCTTTGCTCTCAGGAGTGTCCAATCTAGTTGGAAAGACTGGAAAGTGAACACAATTCCATTCATGTGGTTAGGACTCTGATGGGGTAAGGACAGAGAGGAGCACGCGGGTGGATGGTGGCACCCACTCCAGTCCTAGGGTTCAGGGATGGCTTGCCAGAAGAACTGATGTCTAAACCACAGCCGGAAAAGGAAATAGTATCAGGCCAAAAGAAGGAGGGTTTACCAGCAAAAGGACCCCTCCGCGACACTCCCATATCGCCCCACGAAAGGGCTCGTCCTCAGGGAGCCCTGGAGCTGTTGCCAGGCTCTCTTATTGGATGGTATCATGCCCTATGTCCATAGCATTTGTCCACAGCTCTGTTATTATGATAGGATTGCTGTTCACTGAGCAGTAATTGTTTTCCTATCTCTCCCCAGTAGACTGAGCTCTTTAAGAGCAGGTACAGGGCGCCTGGGTGGCTCAGATGGTTAAGCGTCTGCCTTCAGCTCAGGTCATGATCCCAGGGTCCTGGGATCGAGTACCGCGTCGGGCTCCCTGCTCCTTGGGAGCCCGCTTCTCCCTCTGCCTCTCTCTCTCTCTCTCTGTTTTTCGTGAATAAATAAATAAAATCTTAAAAAAAAAAAAAAGAGCAGGTACAGTGTAACTTTTTTTTCCTGTTTCCACAACTTCTACCCAACCGCCCGGCACATAATAGGCATTGTGGCATTTATTGTTCTTTTAATCAGCTGACCTTGCTTAGAGTCCTTGAGAGATGTAGGGCTTGCAAGTGGCATGGAAGGAGCCCGGTTTGCTACCCCACTGGGCCAGCTCACCACAGCATCCATTTATAATAACAGTGGTAATAGTCATAGCTGCCATTTATTGAACACTTTTATCTCATTTAATTTGATGTCATTCAGTTGTCAGTCCTTGAGAAGCAGATACTGTCATCCCCATTTTCAGGAAACCAAGCTTAAAAGGGAAGATTTATAAAAATAAATAAATTCATTGAGCACTTAGAATATATCGAGGATTGTGCTAAGCTACTTTGGATGATTTATGCTATGGGGATGAGATGAGTACTACCGCCTTACTCATTTATGAGGTTCAGAAGGGCTAGGTGACTTTCCAAGGCCACGCAACTGTACCATGGCAAAGCAGAGGTACAAAACTAGACCTGTTTTAATTCCAAAGTTCATTTCAAACCTTTGTTTTCACTGATTTGAATTGATTATACTTGAAAATATAATCAGATAGAAAATGCACAAGCCACAAAAGGATGTAAAAGCCTTTTTTCTATCTGCACCAATGACGTGTTCTTTCTGGAAGCAACCAGTGTTGGCAATTTCTTGCATTTCTTTTCAGAGATGTTCTATGCACATAGAAGCAGTATGAATATGTATTCTTGGTTTCCCAAAACCCAGATTCTTAAATGCTGCATTTTATTGTGACTTTGCTATATGGAAAAACTCACTGAATTCACCACCTTATTCCCCATTCTTTCTTTAACATGCCTTCATCGAGCTTTTGATCCCACTCCTCCACTGAAACTGCTTTCGTTAAGGTCACAACCTTTGCCCTATCAAATCCAGTGGCTTGGCCTCATTTTATTCAGTTTAGCAGAACTCAACGCAGTTTGTCCCTCCCTCCTCCTTCAAACACTCTCTTTACTTGGCTTCCAGGACCCTCCTTCCTCACTGGCTCCCCCCTGTTTGTACTGCTGCCTTTTCTCCTTTCTGACCTCTAAGTGTTGAGGTCCTCCACGTTCAATCCGTAGTCCTTGTGTTATCTCTGTCCCCAGGTGATCTCCTCCCACATGCATCTCTTTAGCTCTAAACTTGTCTTTGAGTTCGAGACATGAATATCAACTCCATGCTCAGCGTGACGCCCCGGTTGTCTAAAATGCAGCTCTAACTGCACATGCCCTAATCAGAGCTTTGGATATCCTTCTCACTACCAGTTCCTCTCTCCTCCCGATGTCTTCACTGAAGCAACACAGGACGGTTCCATTCACTCAGCTATTAAAGCAGAACACTGGGAAGTTGTCCTTAATTATTCTCTTTTCGTCATATATCCTAGCCAGTCCTTCACATGTGCTATCTGCTTTATATTAAAATTTTACCTGATATCTGACTTCTCATCTGTCAGCCTTTTCCAGTCAAGCCCAAACCATCATTAACACTTGCCTTGACTAGTTTCATTTTCTAACTAATCTCCGTTTCCTCTCTACATAAGCTGAGTCTATATAGAGTCCACTTTTAAAAACACAGATCATTAATCCACAGACCCTTAAATGACCTGGCTTTGCTTACCTGTCTACCTTCTCCTAGGATTCGACTCCCCCCGCCCCCCTCCATTCCAGCCAGCCTGGGCTTGTAGCTGTTCCTCAGATAAGCTGAGCTCATTCCTACCCTAGTGTTTGTACCTGTAATTCCTCAGTCTGGAATGCTTCCTCCTCAAATCTTAACTTCTTTTACTTTATTCAGGTCTCTGCCCACATATAACATTGCGGAGGCCATGATCCTACTCTTCTTTGTTTTTCCTCATAGCACTTATCTCTGCCTGAAATTATATTAACATGTACTGGTTGACTTGGTTGTCTGTCATCCCTAGAGGTAGAACCTCTTCAGTGGAAGGGACTTTGTCCATCTTGTTCATTGCTGATTCACTGGTGCCCAGAATAGTGCCAGGCACCCAGTGGGTGCTCAATGAGTATTTGTTGAATGAGTAAATGTATACCCGGTAACCTCACAAGCCCCTGGGTATAGCTTTGAAAATTTGAAGACCCTCCAAAAGGCTTTTACTTTCTTATTCCCCATCCAAATTACAAGCACCAAGGCTTAACTCACTTGCATATTTATATATAATCTTAGCATTTACATCAAATACTCCCTTTCTTGGTATCTGGCTATTATGAAACTTTGATAGTGTTCCTCCCTCCCTTCATAAGTTTTCTCTCTTCTAACAGCAGGAGAAAAACTGAATGGGGTACAGCTGAGTCCCAGTAACCAACAGGAGATGAAGAATAATGTGGAGAAAGTGCTACAGTTTGTGGCCTCCAAAAAGATTCGTATGCACCAGACTTCAGCTAAAGGTAAGTGCCTCATCACATCTGTGGGGGATGAGTACACTCAGCTTTACCCAGTGATTATGAGGCTCATAAGAACTACCCCTTGCGTAGCCAAGGGTTTTGAGTAGATTGGAATAGGATTAGGCCCGTGGCCTCATATCATTTATCCATAAAGAGAGTTACCCTCTTGGGACAGGGTGATTATCAAAATCTGAGTGCTTTGAAAACCTGGGTGGACGGGCGCCTGGGTGGCTCAGATGGTTAAGCATCTGCCTTCGGCTCAGGT